GACTGCAGATGCCAGGGAACAGAACTCCTCTGTTCTCCACTATCTCCTGGAGTTCGCTCAAATTCATGTCCATTGAGTTGGTGATGATATCTAACCATTTCATCCTCTGTCATCCCCTTCTCTTCCTGCCTTCAATCTTTCTCAGCATCAGGGTCTTTTCCAATGAGTCAGCTCTTCGCATCAGGTGGCCAAAGTATTGGAGTTACAGCTTGAACATCAGTCCTTTGTATAATCAAATGTATTTGCTAGGAATCCAACTGCAATTTTCAAACACATCATCAAGTGAAAAAATTTCTGAGTTTTCTTTTTTTCATTATTTTAAATGATTATTTGAGATTACAACAACTCATAATAAATCTAGTAACTGGTCATTTTTGTGATCTGGAAGAAGTTATATATCATAGTCCTTGTTACACCTTTGATACACAAGAAGTATCTGTTCCTTGGAATTTTTCAGACTTCATCCACAAAGTTCCTATCAAGTGACAACTGTTCTTTAGGAACTCTTTCAGTTGTTATTGGTTGGTTTAATTTTTCTACATTTTGTTGGTTTTGATATTTTATATTGATATTGGTATTTTTGTCACATTACACTCTCTTGAGGTTGCCTATATTATGTACCATATGTTTTCCTAATTTTAAAATATCACATATCCATTGTTATATCACTTCTCTGTTCACTGGTTGGTGTTTGCTCAATATGATAAATTTATATAAGAAAAATACATGTAAGATAGTTTAAACTTAATGAGTTTAGAGATTCATACCCAAAGAATTTAAGATTTACGAATGCAACATATATTTTTATTTTCAAATAAAGTTTTTTAATGCAATATTTCAAATGAGGAGTTTAATACCGATCTGACAGTAAATTTTTAGTACTATTTTCCTCTTTTTAAAGTCCTCTCTCAAAACATTAAATATGCAAATTTCACCTAAGCAACTGTATATATACACATATACACACACACGCAAGCATATATAGTCACTATTTTCATTACTTGTATTATCTCTACTAAGAAAAATTAGTAAAATATTGAAGTTCAATAATAAATGTCTTGGGCTTCCCAGGTGACTCTGTGGTAAAGAATCCACCTTCGCAGGAGATGCTGGAGATGTGGATTTGCTCCCTGAGTTGGGAAGATCCCCTGAAGGAGTAAATGGCAACCCACTGAAGTATTCTTGCTGGGATTATCTCATGGACAGAGGAGCCTGGAGGGCTATAGTCCACTGGGTTGCAAACCGGCTGAGCAAGCAAGCAAATAATGTCAGAATGTGTATTAATAGGATTCTCCTTATGGTCTTTACATACTGTCACAGTGAAACAAAAACATGCTGGTTTATAATATCGGCCTTAGTAATGGATAGGTAGTCCTCAGTCTCTTGATCTTGTGCTATGATTAATCTTAATCATTTGGAAAACCATGGATACTGGGTGTATCATAGATGTGGCTGGAAATCTCAATTCAGTATATGGTTGACCCTTGAAAAACCAGGTTTGAACTGTGTGATGTGGCTTATATGTAGATTTTTTTCAACAGTAAATATTGCAGTACCACAGAATCTTCAGTTGGTTGAATCCTTGGATGCCAAAACGTGGATACTGAGGAGTTGGGGATGAGGATTCAGGGCGACTATATTTTATACTTGGAAATGCCTACTGTACAGAGGGTAGGTGCCCCCTAACCCTTGTGTTGTTTAAGGATCAACTGTATGTTCATAATGTGTATGATTTTTTAAAAATGATGGTTACAGTTTACTTCATATACATAATATTTTTAGTATTTCAATTATTTTAATTGCATTAGCTTTCTATCCTCTCAAGTTTAATTAGTAGGAACACAAAAAATTTATCCTTGGTGGTGCCAACTGCCAAAATAGCAACATGTTTTCTATTTATATTTCTATTTAGGACAGAGCACTCTGTACTAAGTATTGAAATATTTTACATAGTCTTAGCTTCACACTTTTTTTGGTGTATGTAGTGGCATGCCTTTCAATTTGATAAAAACATAGAAGAACTGAGTAAATTATTTTTTAAAAACACTGCTTAGAATTGAGTGGAAGTTGGCAGAGTTTTAGAATAACAGTAAGTATATATTAACTCACAAAGGACTGAGATATATTTGTAATAGTTCATACATGTCTTAGATCTGTATAGAAAAAGTTTGGTATTTAATAAATGCTGTACCTAATATGAGAATATAGTTAACTATAAATCATGAAAAAGGAATACTTTCATATAATTCTATAGCTTCTAATAATTCATGTTAGAATTTACTTTTGTAGATTTCTTTTTAAGCCTATAGTATTCAAGTGTCATATTACATGGGTTAATGCACATTTAAATCACAGAAAGGAAACAACTGCATTCTTTTTTTCATATTTCTATCACTCTAGCCTTAGAAACAGTTGACCCTTGATCAGTTGTTCAGGATTTGGAGAAATAAGTGGAACTCTGCCTGTGGGAGACTAAATGTAAAACTGCAATCAGATAAATCACAAAACACCTAGATGTAATTTAACCTCTAAAACTTTTAGGCAGAAAAAGCAAGAGAATTCCAGAAAAGCATCGACTTCTGTTTTATTGACTATGATAAAGCCTTTGTGTAGGTCACAACAAACTGTGGAAAATTCTCAAAGAGACAGGAATACCAGACCACCTTACCTGGCTCCTGAAAAATCTGTATGCAGGTCAAGAAGCAACATTTAGAGCCAGACATGGAACAACAGACTGGTTCCAAGTTGGAAAAGAAGTACATTAAGGCTGTGTATTGTCACCTTGCTTATTTAACTTATATGCAGAGTACATCATGTGAAATGCCAGGCTGGATGAAGCCCAAGCTGGAATCAAGATTGCTGGGAGAAATATCAATAACCTCAGATATGCACAGGACACCACCCTTATGGCAGAAAGTGAAGAGGAACTAAAGAACCTCTTGATGAAAGTGAAAGAGGAGAGCAGAAAAGTTGGCTTAAAACTCAACATTCAAAAAACGAATATTATGGCATCTGATCCCACCACTTCATGGCAAATAGACTGGGAAACAATGGAAACAGTGAGACTTTATTTTCTTGGGCTCCAAAATCATTGCAGATGGTGACTGCAGCCATGAAATTAAAAGATGTTTACTCCTTTGAAAAAAAGCTATGACCAACCTAGACAGCATATTTAAAAGCAGAGACGTTACTGACAAGGATCTGTCTAGTCAAAGCTATGGTTTTTCCAGGAGTCATGTATGGATGTGAGAGTTGGACTATAGGAAGTCTGAGCACTGAAGAATTGATGCTTTTGAACTGTGGTGTTGGAGAAGACTCTTGAGAGTCCCTTGGATTGCAAGGAGATCAAACAAGTCAATCCTAAAGGAAATCAGTCCTGAGTATTCATTGGAAGCAGTGATGCTGAAGCTCTAATACTTTGACTCATTAGAAAAGATCCTGATACTGGTAAAGATTGAAGATAGGAGGAAAAGGGGGTGACAGAGGACAAGATGGTCAGATGGCATCACCGACTCAATGGATACGAATTTGAGCAAGCTCTGGAAGATGGTGAAAGACAGGGAAGCCTGGCATGCTGCTGTCCATGGAGTCACAAAGAGTTGGACATGACTGAGAGACTGAACTAACTGAACTGAATACAAACATGAGGGCTTTGTTAGCAAACATCCACAACAGGAAAAAGCATCACTGTAGTCAAAGCTTGTTAAAGGTTAGCAACCTGCTTTCCGGTTATCCGATTCATCAGCCAGGTCCAGAGCTCACTTCCTTCTACAGTGCTCTACCAGTATTTATTAAATGCACTATTTTAAGGGTTGTAAATATTGCCCATGTAAAGGAAGATTTAAAGAGGATGCTGCACCTTTTGGACCTTCCTCAGGATGCCTACTCTTGCACTCTGGGTTCAGGTGAAGGGTGGAATCTGACCAGGCAGAGGAGGAACGTGAAGGTGTAGTTGCCCTCCCATTACATACTTTGGCGTCATTTTGACTCCTGATTGCTTATCTGAAACACTAAGCTACTAGATTCAAATTGACAGCACCTTCCTGAACCCCCTGGTACTTATTTACCTCGGGTTTTTTTTCCTGCTTTTTTCTGCACTCATCTTCGTGTTGTAGATATTTTGGTACCTTCTCCCCTTCTCAATTTCGGTTGTAAATTGAGGGAAATGACCTCTTTATTATCCTCCACAATGATCAATAAACGATGCTTATAGAATTCATGATGACAACTTTAATTCAACCCCAAATGAGATGAAGTCCCTCAACCCTCTTTTAACACAAGCAGTCTTGATGTGACGGCCCGTCTTCCAAGCCTTTTTCTGAAAGGTGCCCCGGAGGGCCTGAGGGATTAACCAACGGAGCAGGGAAGCTCAAGACAAGTCCAAGACAAGTCCAAGACAAGTCCCTGGGCCAAGTTCCGCCCTTTCTTCACCTCACGGAGCGCTGGGATGGGAAAAGTGGGATACAGTAGGTATGTCGGACTGACTATTCGCCAACTGCGGAGCAAAAGGGTTTGATGGTACCCACCTGGAACGGCCCGCAGGCCCCGCCCCGCGCCGCGCACGCCTTTTGTAAGCGCACTAAGCCCCGCCCCCGCTAGGCCCCGCCCCTGCCCGGCTCCGGCTTGGGCTCGGGCTCGGGCTCCCGGAGCGGAGGGGGTGAAGAGAAGCCTCAGCTGCAACTTCGTCTGGAGCCTCACAGCCTGGGCTCGGCTGGGGACCGAGCCGCCGCCACCGCGGAGCCGCCGCTTCCCTGGCCCGGGCCTCAGCACAGCTGGGCCGACCATGGCAGCCGCCGCCGCCGCGGCGAATCCGGCCCCTGCGCCCCCTTCCCGTCGCTGAGCGGCCGTTGCTCAGCCCACTCGCTCGCCCCGCCTCGCGGGTGCCGCCGCAGCCCAGGCTCCACACAAGTTTCCGCCGCTGAAGAAGCAGAAGGCAAAGGCAGCGGAGGACGGGCGTGGGGAATCGGGCGCCCCCGGCCCACTAGGCACTCCCGCCCGCGATGTGGGGTCGCTTCCTGGCCCCGGAGGCCGGCGGCCGGGACAGCCCCGGCGAAGCCCGCAGCTTCCCAGCGGGTAAGTAACGGGACAGGCCGCCGGCCGGGGGTGGGGGTCGCGGCCGACCGCGGCGCCCTGGGGACCCCGCCGCCGCCGCCGCTGCCGCTCCCCTCCCTCCTCCGGCCTGGCTTCCCCCTAGCCGCGCGCCCGCCCGCCCGCCCTCCCGCCAGCCTGGTTTCCTCCCGGCTGCCGACACCCAGCCGGGCGGGCTGACATCTGGCTGCCCGCCTCTCCGGCCCGATCCGTCCGGCATCGCGGTGTCCCGACTGCTCCTCGTCGGGCCTCAGCCCCGGCTCCCCAACTTACAGCTCGCTTGGGCCTCCTCGGATTGGGCTTTGTTGTGCGTCCCCCTCCCTTTTTTCTCGGGTGGGGTGTGGGGACGTGGGTAACGGGGCTCCCGGAGATCCGGGCGGGAAGGTCGCTGCGACCGTGCTGCAGCGGCGGCGGCGCGGCGCGCGGCACGGGCGCCGGGATCTGCTGCAGCCGCGCCCGCAGACCCTACTGGAGGGCGCGTTTTGGGGTAGGAGGAGGCTGGGGTGTCTCGCCTGCTGGTGCCCGCCCAGGGGTCCATCTCCTCACTGAAACCTGGTCACCGCCCAGCAGTTCTCTCTGGAGGACACGTCCTGCCAAAGCCAGTCGATATTTGAGCAAGAGGGGCTGTTAATCCGTTTGTCTGTTCCTGGCCTTTTCTGGGGAAATTTGGGGTTTGCCGCGTTGGGTGTGTGAAGGGAACTGTTTTGTAATGCAGAGCCATTTTATGCCTGCATCCCTTGAAAGTTGAGTAGGAGCCCCCAAATTGGAATAAATCGTCCCCTGATCAGGAATGTAAAAAATAAGACTTGGTTATCTGACATTGACAAGTTACAGGATGTTGGCTGTTTTTTTCAGGCGCTTTAACTTAATTGTATTTTGAACCACCTACCTCCCCTTCCCGCACCCCAGAAGCTGCAAGTTATATGGATCATTTATCAAGAAAAAGCCGCCATATGTACACACACAAAAATTTTCCTGCAACTCCCGGTCCTTCTAGGACTCCTCTGTTAAGTAACCTTGTCACACAAAATGTTTGAGCTCTACTTGTGTAACTGACATTTTGGTATACACGTTCAAGGCGATTTGCAAACGAAACAGAAAAGCATTTGGAAGTGTTTTTTTTGTTGGTAGTATTTTTGCTATTTAAAAAATATCAGACACAAACTCAGATTTCTGTTAAAAATTCAAATAATGCAGTTCTGTGATACTTTAGAAATTTGCGATGTGATTTTTTTTTTTAGACATAATTTTCTCAGGTTTATTGAGAGTGTAATTGACATTTAGAAATTGTAAATACTTAATATGTGCAACTTGGTTTTGATGTATACATGTGTATATACACATTGTGAAATGATCTCCACAGTCAAACTAGTTGACCTATCCATCACCTCATAGTTACAGTTTTTTGTGTGTGTTATGTGTTTGGTGAGAAAACTTTTAAGATTTACCCTCTTAACACATTTCAAGCATATAATAATACACTCTTAAATGTAGTGGCATAGTGTACATTAGGTCTAGACATAGATAAACTTTCAAATTCAGAGTGAGATTTGAAATTGTTCTCTTAAATTTGGTCCTGCAATGCTAGGCATGAGTTTAGTTTTTTTAAAAAAGTAGGAAATTATTTTCTCTATAATGTATATCATTTTTCCTAAGAGGAGGAGACAGGAGTTGAGAAGTTTCTGATGCTCATTGGGTATTTACAATTCTGCAATCACAGTAACTTCAGTCAGTGAGAAGGTACTTCATTATCCCCAGAGGCTGGAGGGAGTGGTTTCAATTTATCTGTTCATGTCAGAAGCCATCTGTAATATCTTTGCAAACTAACCTCTTGAAATTATTTGTTATAATAACATATTTGAAGGTATAATATCACCCAAGCATTGTATCCATTTATTCCATTGTTTTTTATGGAGAAGAAAACATCATAGTGCTTAGAAATTGTTAATTAGCTGAAGAAGGGACTTGGAGGTTATATTCCAGTGTCTAAACCTTTGCTGTGGCAAAGAATATAGTGGAAGAAGATGCTTTATAAATACTATCCAAATTTAGTAAATTCGGACACTATATCTTTACAACATATTTATTTTATCTAATCTTTGACAGTATCTTATCTTTGGTAAGTCAGGGCATGTCTTTCCAATATAATTTTTCTTCAGCTGTATGCTAAGAATAGATTACTTTTACAGAATAGTAATGTAATTATTTATGTTTATTCTCTTAAGTAAAGCAGACCTTTACAATTATTTTTGGAGCTTAATTTATACCTCATTTTTAAAACTTAAGTGTGGTTTCTTTAGCAAATGAGCAGGTGGCGAAGGTCAAAATAATGACCTCTGAGTTGGTTCATGTGGGTATTTTTTTTCTTAGCATTTAAAGAAAATTTGTATATTTGAAACACTGCCCAATATTACCTTTTGACTAACTTGAGTGATTTTAGAGCTTTTCTGAAAGCAGAAGGAACCAGTCTTCTGATTGAATTTATTAGCAATCATTTTGGTTTTGAGGGCCAGTATTAAGACAGGGATACATAAATAATTTCTAGTATTTAAATAAGTTTGTCTCAATATGGGGGTTAATCCTAGATGTCCAGAAACTAGTTTGTTTATACAGTTATTTAACTAGACTAATCTGCCTGCTAGTATAGGAGTTACAGGTTCGATCCCTGGGTCCAGAAGATGCCCTGTAGAAAGAAATGGCAACCCACTCCAGTATTCTTACCTAGGAGATCCCATGGACGGAGGAGCCTGATAGGCTACAGTCCGTGGGGTTGCAGAGTTGGACACAACAACTAAACAACAGACAACTAAACTAGACTAAAGAGAAAACCAAAGATCATATAGAACCAGTTCTAAAAAATTGGAGAAAACTTTCTTTTTAAGGTAATGGCAGTTAAAACAAGTAGGAATAATTAGTGGGTATGGAAAGTACTGAACTTTGGACCTTTGCTGTAGGATTTAATTTTGCCTTGGCTTTATCTGCAGTTTTTCAGCTTTACAGAGATAACTGTTATAAATGAAAATGAAATGAGTATTTTCTTATATTTGCATGCAAAGATCAAGCAAAAGTGCCCCTCTCCCTCTTTTTGATTGGCAAGTGTGGTTAGAAAGCTAATTTTATTTTATTTTTCTTTGCCTGCTTTTATTTTATTTTTTTCAAACTTTCAACTTTTTTTTTTTTTGCTTTGGGATATAGCCGATTAACAATGTTGTGGTAGTTTCAGGTGAACGGCAAAGGGATTCAGCCATACATTCACATGTATCCATTCTTCCCCAAACCCCCTCCCATACAGACTGGCACATAACACTGAGTCGAGTTCCATTAGCTATACAATAGGTCCTTTTGGGTTATCCAGTTTGAATATATAGAAAACTCAATTTTAAGTAGAACATGTGTTTTTTTTATGATTTGGTTGAGTGTATTTGAGAATACTCCATTATTCAAAATGTATAATAGTTTCAAAGTTGGATGAAAGATGGATCTATTTCCCTTGGGTTTTAAACATCTAGTATGATATGGTGATATTTTGAGTACTTGCACTTAGTTATATTGAATTTGTTGCTTTTTATAAATCATACTTTCAAAATATTAATATATTTAATCCTTAAAACGTTTGGAGGTAGGATATGACAGTTTTAAAGTATGCTAAAATTAAAATGTTATAGAAAATACTTACACGATTTGAAGAAGTGTCATTTGTTCAAGTGCCTCAAGTCTTCAGTGCCTCACTGCCTTTCCCTGGTTGATGCCTGGCTATAAGGTGTTTAGTGATGTCATAATGATGGTGGTAGTAACTGGTATGATTATGTCAAAAACTAAGGCTTTCTGTGGTTTTGAATTAGGTGAGCCCAAAAGTACAATGATACCAATGAAACATAACTCTTCTACCTAAACTCAGTTGAGCATGTTCTTTTATAATAGGCTTTCAGGGATGAGTGGTTAATCTCAGCTTTAGTAATGACTTTTGTGAAATGAACCTAATTATTACTGATAGCTTCTTGGCTTGACTAAGGTAGTAAACTAATCTGAGGCCAGGCAATAAATGGTGAGTTGACAGCCTCTGTTGTGAATGTTTCTGTATGTTGAGAACAGAAGGTATTTTACAGTCTCAAGTTTCCTGACAGGATCAGATGTGTCCGTGTGTGCTCTGAGAAGATGAAATGAAGGCTCTCAGATTTTACTGCATTTTATCTTAATTAGTTCCCTCAAATTCTATATTAAAAGTGAATAATGCAATCATTTAGATAACTTCTAAAGCTATAATGAGATGCTAATTATTATTACTTTAAGGATATGTATATTTATACTGGCAAAATAATATTCTACAGAGTGGAATTTATTGTATAAGGTCATTTTAAGAATGGGGATGATCAACATAAAAGAACATCAAATTGCTTTTCATACTAATATTTTACTTGCACTTTCTATTTTTCTTTAATTAAAAAAAATCCATTGTTTTTACCTAGCATAGTGCTTGGCACATACATAACTACTTGGTAAATGTGAGTCATTCTTTGAGTATGTATTGTGTGGTAGGCATTGTACTGGCCTCTGGGAGTACAACATTGAACAAGAAAATTCCCAGCTCTAAGGGAACTTATGTGCTAGTAGGGAGGAAACAGTTTGTAAGTAAACCAACAACACGATAATTCAGCTAATGTTAAGTACTGTGAAGAAAAGGGAGCTGAGTGAGATGATACAGGATGGGTGGATCTGGGTAGACAAGGCCTCTCTGAGGAGGTAACATTGCTCTGAGACCTGAGTGATGAGGAGCCAGGCACATGAGGGCAGGAGTGTTCAGGCAGAGGGTAAACAAACGGCTCCATGGTGGAAATGAATTTGGGGAGTTTGAAGAATATCAGTGAGTCTGGAGCATAGTGACCAGGGATATGAGGTGAGGGAGTCCTGTAAGAATTTGTAAGAATTTTAGGTTCTATTCTATGTGAGGGGAAGGCAGTTGTGGGTGGTTGGGGAGATGACTGTTC